GGAAGGAAAATTTTAGAATAACATGACAGTCATTTATGACACTTCAATCCAAAAAAACAACAGCTTTTTAGATCATTTTTCAATCATGTTCTCATGCTGCCACAACTGGAGCCTGCTTTAACAGGTGTGCCGTCAACTATGGTGTTCGGCAGAGATGAGGACTGTTTAAAAGTTTTTTTCCCTCTAAAACTTTGATGCGCATCGTCCCAGTTTATTACATCAACATAAAAAAGATGTCATTGCAAAACAATCATGAAAAAAGGCATTACATGCAAATTTTTAAGTCATAGCATACATTTATATAGTCGCAGTGGCAATCTAGGCACAAATATCACTCGCAAATTAATTTTTTTTTGGTCGCAAATGCGACTGTTTTAGGTGCAGTCTGGAGCCCTGTACTACACATGCTGATCATGTTAGTCATGCTTCTGCACACACCAACATACATAATATTCCTCACAGAACATCTAGACAGGTGGAGCTGGGGGAGGTAGAGGGTTTCAAAGGAACTCGGATAATGCAATACCGGACTAGCTTACAGCATATACTGAAACAGACTATTTAAATGTTGAGCCACCAAGCTCATTTGCTGCAGATACATACAGCTGATATTTTTATCCAAATTATAACCAATTATTTCCAAACATTCATGTCATCTTTACCAATCTCTTATTGGCCAGTAGGCACAACACAGTCCTGTGCACCTAAATGAAGGATTATTATTTTTGTCAGGGAAGGTAAAAGTTGCAGGTGCATAAAAGCACTTACCTGTCTCTCACAATATGCTTTCATCAGTTTGTTGAGGGGTGTGTGCCTCTTGATTTTGAACTGAACCACTGAGCCATCCTGCCCGGCTACTTTCAGATTTATGTGGTCACTCGTTTTCACACCCTCCTGAAACAAAAGTGAAATAAAGCCACCATAAATAATTCTTATCCAATGGAAAAAATATAGAAGAACAACAAACAACAAATAAAGTTATTGATTGATTTAGTGCACCATAGCATCTTAGAGATAGGAATCAAAGAAAGGTACCCAAACAATCATAAACAAATTTAGTTCAATAAAAGCGTTTTCATAACGCGAACAAGTGGCAAAACAAGTGTGCTTTGCTTTCACCCACTTAAAATAACATTGTCCTCCAAAGATTAAACCAGGGGTGTCCAAACACGGTCCTGGAGGGCCGGTGTCCTGCAGAGTTTAGCTCCAACTTGCCTCAACACACCTGCCTGGAAGTTTCTAGCATGCCTAGTAACATATCCACTAGAAGGCAAGCCTGCAACCTTTAGCCAAATAAACATAACAGCTAATGCTAACGCTTCCGCTTTGGCAGTACGTGGGAAAGGAGACCAGAGAGCATTTTTTTTTTTTTTGAATGAATGAATGAATGTCAATGGAGGAGAGGCTTCACTACACTGAATAAACAGCTTTTATGGAGGAAACAGCTTATTTAATGAATCGACATGCCTATCCACTAATCTTCAACATGTTTTACAATACTTTTGGATTTAACTATTTTTAGAGTTTACACAGAAAAAAATCAGTTTTATAAGAGAAGTCACTGACTTCTTGCTACAGGTGGGATTCAGCTTAAGGCACTTCTCATTTATTCCTATGGTATCCATAACCGGAGATTGAGTGTCACACAACCCTGACTGAAATTCAATGACGTTTCTTCAATAGTAAGTAATACAGACCCTCTCATCTCCCAATAAGAAGACTATCTCTGGCTAGTAAGACCTTGATTAGCTGGTTCTTGATTAGCTGGACTTTAAAGGGATAGTTCACCCAAAAAAATTTTTTTGATGTTTATCTGCTTACACCCAGGGCATCCAAGATGTAGGTGACTTTGTTTCTTCAGTAGAACACAAACAAAGATTTTGGTAAAACAAACAGGAGGACATGATGATATTTACTATTTTTACACACCAGAGGCTTTTAAATGAATTGTGAATCTAAAATATGCGTGTTAGAGAATGTACAAATGGTTAACATTGTTTGTGTCATATCAGTCAGAAAAGCAGGTCTGGGCTTTTTTTTTTTTAAGCCAACTTTGTTTTTATTCTTGGCTGAAACACTCTAGGTTTTCAAAAGCCCTTTAAAATTAAATATGTACACAGTTTGGATTAAATGAAAGTACAGTCACATTTTTTAATTAGCATGTTTTTGTGTTTTGCTTTGGTACCGAAATTGGTACCGAGAATCATGGATTTTCACTGGTATTGGTACCAAATACTGACATTTTGGTACCGTGACAACACTACCTGGGGGTAAGCAGATAAACATCAAATTTTCATTTTTGGGTGAACTATCCCTTTAATTCGGGTTGGAGCTAAACTCTGCAGGACAGCGGCCCTCCAGAACCTAGGTCGGACACCCCTGGTCAACTATCCCTTTAATTCGGGTTGGAGCTAAACTCTGCAGGACAGTGGCCCTCCAGAACCTAGGTTGGACACCCCTGGTCTAAGCCATTTAATAAAGTAATAAAGAGATGCATGCTTTGAACAATAGAACAGAAATAAACCCACAGTTCCACATGATAGTGGCACCACAACACTGATAAAGTTTCAAATTAAGTGATTTGTTTACAGCACATAATACAGTAGTAGAGTTTGTCTGTCAATAAAGCAAACAGCTGAGATTCCCATAATACTCCAGAGATGCACAAGCACACAACTTTTTTTCAAATATTAAAGTCTAAAAACAAAACAAATAAATAAAATTAAATAAAAATGGCTATGATGCAGTTAAAACACAAAGAAACTCGTGTAAATCGGAACACACCTTATTATACACTGCAAAACCACAAAATGAATCCGTTACAAATCAACGCAAGTTGAAATAAATGCACCGAAAGAGACCAGCACTTTGCGCGCGAACAGTCGCAGTGGACCCCGTTGGTACAGTGCTTCACGGTAAGTTTTGTCTTATCACTTGCCTTTTGTATCAGGTGCGAGCCACATTAGCGAACTAGATAATTAGCGTGTTATCTTTATGAAAGACCATAACAATATTTAATAAATGACAGACAATTAACAATAAATGAGAGAGAGGGAAAAAAATGTTCCTTATAAATGGTACCCATTAATCATATAACGTTAACGTTACCAATGAATTATCGTGCTTATTCGAACATTTATAAAAACCCATACACACGTACCTTTGGCTTCTCGTCTGCCATGACTGCCTCTGCAGTCTCAAATAGTAATTTTAGGTTCTTGAACGAATCGTTCTTTTAAGCCGGTACTCAGGAAGTAACCGGTTGAACCGGTTCGCAAATCGAACTGAATCGAACTTTAGTTCCAAAAAAAAAAAAGAACTTTAGTTCCGGGTTGATGACGCAGGACGCACAGCCGAAATAGCACGTCCAACTCAAAAAGAACCGAATGAGCCGGTTCAACCAACTGTCGAAGTTTGCCGAGGATTATCGAGGACTCAACAAGAACCGAATGAGCCGTGGCGAAGTTTGCCGAGGATTACCGAAGATTCTGATGAGTGAGTTGACGATACTGTGCAAGCCTGAGGCACGTACTGGAAATATG